AGCCTTCATTCCTCAGTCTCTTTAGTGAGTGTCCCCTCTCTACAGCCCCCCTCCCTGCAGGCCCCTCCCATAGTCCCCCTTTCCACAGCCCTCCTCCCTACTGAAGAGCTCTGGGGACACAGGCCAGCCAGGCAGACAGGAGATGGCCCTGCCAGTGGTCTGAGACAGAATCCTGCCCACAGAAGGCAGGGAGGAGGCTCTGTGTAGCATGGTTGGCCTAGGCTCCCCTGAGACAGGGACCAGCCAGGAGAGGAGGCAGAGTGAGAGGAGGAAGAAAGGCCGGGTGACACATGGCACTGTTGAGTTTGGAGGAGCTGGGAGATGAGGCTCAGCGGGAAAGTGTCCACGGAGAGCACAGCCCTGGATTCAGCAGACCCGCGTTGTGCAGATGCAGCAGGGCCGGGCGCTCAGGTTCCCAGGGGCAGAGCCTGCTTAGCATCCCCTGGATCCAGGTCAGACCAGGGCACGGAAACATAGCCTCAGGCTTAGCCGTCCACGGCAGCCTGGGGGAGTCGAGGGGAGGGGTCGGCTTTCAGGACAGCTCCTGGCAAAGCAAACGGGGTTCAGCAAGGCAGCATTGTTATGAAGGCTGAGGTGGGCCCAGGAACAGGGTTCTTCCAATAGACCCGCCAGGCGCTTCAAGTTGGCTCTGGCTGGCAGGGCCAGTGCCACTGGGCAGAGCAGAGCTGCACCCCACCCCCACGCGGGTCTCCGTGGCCGACTCTCCCTGAGCAGATGGCCGGGCCTTGCACCCAAGGAGCCTGCGGGTGGTTTGACCCACTGACCTTTTGTCTGCGAGTGTGCATTCTCTGAATGTGTGCACCATCTGTGGGTGTGCATGGTGTCTGAGTGTAACACTGTATGGGCATATTGTCTGGTGTGCGCATTGTCAGTGGGTAACACTGTGTGTGCATTCTCTGAATGTGTGCATTGTCTGTGTGTCCTGAGTGTGGGAGGGAGATGCCTACAGCAAAAGGGGCCCATGGAGACACCCCCACAGGGGCTTGTTGGTGGAAGACCAGCTGCTGGGCCTTCTCAGGTGGAGAGGTGACATCAGCCAAGTGTGCAGCCACTCACCTTCCCTCTGTGCTTATTGTGGGCTCTCGTCTCCAGAGGACAAGGGGCCCTGCTGAGCACAGGGGGACGTGAGTGGGCGTCTGCATCCACCTGCGCTCAGGGGGGACCACATGCACAGGGTCACCAGGGGCACTGGGCACGGCTGGAGCAGAAGAGGTGCTGGAGCCGGAGGGAGGTGCTGGCAGGACCCCAGGGGTCAGTCTCCTGCAGAGGGCAGGCCCCAGGCAGGAGGGCCATCTACATGGCCACCCAGCGTTCCCCTGTTGATGCAGATGCCTCACAGGGAGTGGAGCTGTCCCACGCAGACAGCCCCTATTGGCTTGGAGCCTGCCCAGCCATTCCCTTGAGGCTGAGTTCCTTGCCCCCAGGCAGGGAGAGCTGGCACTCTGACACCCCCACCCCACAGCACAGAGATTGTTCTGCTCCGGGGAACTCTGGTGAGATAGGGGTGGGTACTGGCAATTGTATGTGAACAAATGGACGGATCAGAAAGCACAAACTGGTTTTAATGGTTGAAAATGTAAAAGACATTCTTAAATCAGACATTGTGTTTAGTATGTAGGAGGGCCTGGGAGGGGCCCCAGCTGGTGGTGATGGCCCCTCCCTCAGCACTGATGGCCTGTGGGGCTGGCACCTGCCCTAAGGCTGTTGGGTAGCAGCATCCCTGGCCCCTGACACCAGCTCCCTGACCCCCCACTCCAGCTGTGACACCCACAATGCCCGCAGACCCTGCCAACTTCTGCTCCAAATTGCCCAGTGGGGAGTCCCGAGGGAAGCTCCTCTAGGAGGTTCAGAGCCCACACAACCCCCAAACTGAAGGCACCCACCATGGGCTGAACCCAGCCACCTAACAACTGCCCCCTGCCCCCCACCAGCCTTCCCATCCCAGGTTCGATTTCACGGAGTCAGGAGTCGTCTATCTAAACGTGCATGTCCAGGGCTGACGGCAGGGCCCGGGGGTGGCCGTTGATGCTCCGCCGGAGCTCTTGGTGCAAAGCCAGGATCCGAGCCAGGCTCAGGAGCTCGCAGGTGGTGGAGCAGCTGTCAGCTTGGCAGTCACCTGGGTCCTCAGCACCCTCAGGGTCCCATGTCTGTCCTGGAGGCAGAGGGAGCTGGGGAGAGAGAATGGACTGACATGTCTCTGCCACAGGTAGCCCAGGTCCTACTTGTTCACACAGCTACCCACCACCCCCGGGGAGGGGCAGGCGCCAAGGCAGTGCAGGCTCGCTGAGCAGGCTGTGGTGTCCTGGTCGCGCGGAGGTTGTGCGGGTTGGCCCTGAGCCTGCATCACCCAGCGGGCACAGCTGGCAGTGTCTCTATGGAGGAGCCTCGCTTTCCTGCTCCACCCGGGAAGGAAGCCACGGCCGCAGAGCCCACCTTCCCACAGCACAACGCAGCGTCCTCCCAGCAAGCCTGCCACCCACCAGCTCCAGGGCCACCTCACAACTGACCCGGACCACGTGGTGACGACAGCGCCAGGCACTCAGGACCCTCGCGGTGGCAGCTTGCCTGCCGGGTTGCTGGGTGGTGACGCCGAGAGATGTGCTATAGACATGTGGGCCCCCGCAGGGCTGCTGGTGAACATGGTTCCGCCAGGAGTCGGCTTAGGATCCACGGGGAAGAATGGCCTGTTGATCCGCTTCCAGGTAAAGCCACCGCCCTCTGGATGGCAGCAGGATGCACAGGTGCGCAGTGGCTGTAGCCATGGACTTGAGAGACTGGCCCAGGGCCAGACAGCGCTCCTCTCTGTCACCCAGGAGGAGGCCGTGAGTCGGGGCGGGATGGACGGTCACTAACAAACCAGGGCATGCCGCTCAGAAGTGACTGGCTCAGGGCTCAAACCCAAGACCATGGCATTTCACGACGTCCTTTCTCTCCTTCCCCAGCCAGTTCTCTGTGACCAGCTGCTGCCACTATTGCACACGAGTGAGAGTCCTCAACAACCGCCATCAGCCAGCATGAGCCACGCGTGGGCCCTCCTGGACCAGCACCAGCCACGACAAGGCCCGCGAAAGCATCAGTCAGAATTACCCCCTGTGGGCCCTTCACGACCAGCACGGCCACTATCACATGCCTGTGAGAGCCTCACAAGCAGCACCTGTCAATAGTGTACCCGTCAGCCCTTCACCTCAGCTGTTACTATACTCCTGTGCACCCTCTGTGGCCAGCACCAGCCAGTATCACACCCGTGTGAGCCCTTCATGAGAAACATCAGTCAGGAGTATGCACCTGTGGGCCCTTCATGGCCAGCACCAGCCAGTATCACACCCGTGTGAACCCTTCATGAGAAACATTAGTCAGGAGTATGCACCTGTGGG